ACAGCCCTTTGAGAAAGAGGCCTAAGACATTTGACAATAGATGGATTTTTATACAGCTGAAACATGATATGTATAATGAATTTAGTAACACTTGACATGTAAGTTTAGTAGATATTCTTGAGCTAGTTTCACTGCTGCCATTTCATCTCTCCTGATGAAACGAAGAAATTGGTGCATTGATCAGTTTGAAAGATGACTAGGATTCTTATGTGGACAGCAGCAGATCATATGTAAATGGAAGCTGCGCAGGAGATACATTATTCATGATGCAATTATAAAATCTCATATCCTAGAGCAATGGCAACTGTCTATAGGCCCCTAAACTTACATTTTACAAAAATACTACAGCTTTAAAACCTTGCGCTGAGTTTCCTGACATATATTTCAAAGCATTTAGGTACTTGTTCCAGTTAGTTAATGCGCTGAGATAATTCCCTTTGTCTTTTCAGAAAGGTAGGTTTCCACGCCACAGCTGAAAATACTGGTTATTCCCACTCTAAATACCTGGACACTATTGGTTGGATTTGCTCTCTGGGACATTCACTTGTTCTTTTCAGAAAATATAAGTGGCCTGATAATTTTATACCGTTTTCATTTATCTTGTACTATTTTGTGAAAAAAAAAAAACCAAAAACAAAAAAAGTGAGGTTATCCGCTGAGATCCCATGGGGCATGTAATATTTGTAAATTGTTAGTCTTTGGAAAGACTAACAAACTTTACTTTTGCCAGTGAAATGAACAGATATTAAAGTATCTAAAACAAAAGCCTTGCTATTTTTTCAGGACCTTAATATAATAAAGAGGTAGGATTTCTTAGTGACTTTTAAACACTCAAGGAGAAAAAAGAATTATTGAAAGGCAAAAACATATATGTAGACTGGTGTTTAATTTAAGCCATATGCTGTATAGTCATTTTATGAGACTGTAAAATTGTTCTCAGTTTGTATACATGTACTTTTATTTATTCTTTAATATTTAGGTGGAATGTAGATGTGTTTTATTCAGTTTTTAGCACATTTCAGGTTGACGTGTTCTCTTGTATCTTTTGTTTTCACTTAGAAATACCATTTACAGTTTACTATTATTTTGACTAAAATAAATAGAAAGGACTAAAATATTAGCAAATTCTATTTAATTAAGGAACATGTAACATATAAAACTGTGAAAGAATCCAGAAATTTGTGAAGAGAATACTAGAAAATCTGCTGTACGAAGAGACAGACAAAGAACTGAAAAATATTTATCTCTACAGACTCAAAGATCACATAATTTGCTCTTTTCATTACTTAGATGTACATACACTGGACCTCATATCAAAATAGAGCAGCTGAAGAGTATTGTAAGAATTCTGCTGGAAATCATATGAACATCAAGGTCTCATTGCATATTAATAATGAAATATTATTTTAAAGCACTTCAAAGCCTAAGGAACACAATTTTTATCTTCCTAAGGTACAGATTCTGAAGCATGATGATACAACAAATGCTGTCATATGATTTAATTAACACCAGTTATAATAGAATCTGTTAAACTTTTTTGATTAGTAATGCAGATTTAGTTACATTTCAATCAGATCAATAATCTTTTCATATGATTGTGTCAAAATGGCGGAGACTTTAACACTTCTAACTTCTTTTGGTATGAACCAATTTTTATGTCATAGGTCTCTTTTTAATTTATTTCCTCAATTCTATCTCTGATTATTTTTCTGGAAGTTTATTTTAGCATACAAGACTTTTCAAAAAATATTAATCTGAAAGTCATCAATATAACATTATTTTTGTTATGTTTCTTTGAAATAGGCAGTTTCATAAAGACATGAATAAAACCAGTAATCTGTAAATTATTACTAACATTACAAAATTTTAATATACAATTTTTTTAATTAACTGTGTTATTGCATAATAAAATTGAATTGACAACTTCAACCTTTACTTGCAAAAAAGAACATAGTTATTCTCCTTTGCAGCCAAATACTTCTGCTGGCAATTCAGAGAAAAGAAATGGGTGATGTGGTTTCCTAATCCAACTTTTAAAAAATGTTTAGTTGACTTTGGACAATGATTTAGTTATATCAGAAAAATAATAAAGTTAGAAGAGAGAATTTTCTGTCTATTTGCACATACTGCATTTCTAGGAATCTCTTAGTAATAACATTTTTAGAGATCAAGATTGATTTAATAATAAGAAACAGATTTATCAATATAATAAAGGGATATCTATAACCTTGGCCCTAGCCATCCCCTTATGACTAGCCACCCTTCTAACAGGACTGCAAAACCAATCTGCCACCTCCTGCCAGAAGGCACTCCCTCCCCACTGATCCCTGCCCTAATCCCAATCGAAACAACAGGAGTAGTATTCGCCCATTAGCACTGAGTGTATGCCTAACAGACCAACAATTAGAGCTTTTTCAGCGTGCTCAAATTTCTGAAAAATTGATTTAAAACAATAAACAAAACAATTTATAACATGAAAATATACCTGTTTCCAAATACTATAATTTAGACATTTTTCATAGATCACATTATCCATAAGTCAGTTTTTAAGGGACTTTAATATTAGTCTCGTGGGTTAAGAAATATTTAAAGTTAATGATAAATATTTGTCATTTGACAGAATCAGCTGAAAAATAAGTGTTACTTCCCTCAGACTAACAAGACTTTCCTATTATTTCTCCAGAAGAAGACAAGGCTTAATTTTCATAAGGAAGTTCTACATTGTGTTTCTGATATCCTAAGTTTTTTTTTATAATCACCCTTGCAAATATAAAGAATTTATACAGACCTAATTAAAACCTTAGTTTGTTAGTGTGCTTTGCAACTAAGTGCAGTCCAGGATTAATCCAGTGAGCTACAATTGTGCAAAAATTATCGCACTCCTGCTAACGTAATGTTAGCTTTACTCCATAATCTCAATTTGGTCTGAACATGTTTGTTCTAATGGCACCTCTACTGGCATGAAATAGCAGTCTGTAAGTTGGGGAATCTGTTTTTCACCTGGTAGTATCAGCAAACATGATGCTTAGGGACATGATTTAGTGGTGGAATTGGCAGTGCTAGGTTAACAATGATTTTAAGATTTTAACATTAGCATTTCTAATCTAAATGTTTGTATGATTCTATTCTATGAATGGAGCTGCAGTTTATATCTTGAATTGGTAAATTATTTTACTTCATTTTGAATCAAAATATTGGTTGTAGGACATAACACTCACATTTTACTGTTCAATATCCCTTTTTCCTCCTATTTGGTAAGAAATATATTGCTAATGTTGCTTGCAACCATATGAAGTCAACTGCATGCATAGTTTTCTGTGTGAAAATATCCTAATTTAGGAAAATATCAGTTCTCCATTTGATCTTTAAATGTGTTGTTCAGACACTTCATGTGAATGATTCATTATATTTTGCCACATAACATCTTTAAGGCTAGAAAATGGCATTTTCTCTTCTTGTCTTGTTTCCTCCCATTAAAAAATTATTTCTGACCATCTAGTGGCATTATCAAGATACAACTTGGAACACTGAAAAACAGCTCCAGAATAAAAATACCTTTATTTATTGAGTATGATACAAATAACTCAGTAGGCCTGAAAGCAGTGTAGCTACAATATTGAGGATTGTTTGCCAGATGTCTCTGAAAGTATACTGTATTCTCACAAAACACATCAAAGGAAAGGAAAAATGAAACTCATTAATTGAGGTAACAAAGATTTATGTTCAAGCAGTGAGGGGATGAAAATTAATACCACTGTGCTGAACAGAATGGAACTGTGACAATTGACATGAATTGAAGATATACCTCAAGTGATTTCTGTGGCTTTAGGAGATGGCTTTTAAATTTGGGGGAAAGAAAAATGAAAGATTCTCCCAGGAGCTAGCACAGATGATCTTTTCCCAGTATTGCTCATTCCTTTGCCCCTTTGCATCTTTTTCTTTGTGTGCAGTGAAAGAAGACTCATTTTCCCTGTCCAGAGAACTTCTGTTTCTTTAGGGACTGGGTTTAGTCTTTGCTCTAAATCCAAGCCCTAAATTCATCAAACCAAAGGCAAAATTTCAAGTGTGCTCATCTTCTCTGTTAAACTTCAGGATTATAGTAACTTTACTTTTTCCAAACACACTTTTTGGTATCTTTAACATATAGAAATAAGTATTAGCAGCCAACATTATAATGAAGCATGGTCGTAGTAGTTGTCCATATTACAAACATTGCACAAATTTTGCTGTTGAATAACAGCAAAATCAACAGCTGTTGATGGGTTCTTTACTTAAAAAAAAAAAAAAAACACCAACAACTTGCTGTTGGCCATTCCCTCCATATCAAGCAGTTAAGATATTTCTGCTCAAGCTATGCCATTGAGTCTCTGGCATCTGAACCTGTTATTGAGATAAAGCAAAACTATATAAAACAAAACAATAGAAAGTAAAGCAATACAAAAATTGGAAAGAAAAATGTTTCCATTTAAAGCTCACTAAGTATGCCATGTGTGAGAGAGAGCGAGATGCAAATTGTATATTAGGTCTATGAAATTCTTTTTCATGATAAGAAGCAACTTTCTAAGTACTACAGAGAAAACAACTATTTCAGGTATAGATAAAGGAGAAACTCAGTGATTAATAGATATTAAACACATACTATTTGTTTTTCCTAAGAATAATTCATCTTCTTTCATTGTCTTTTCTAGAGTAGAGTCACCTGAAGGAACAAAGTTATCTAGGAGTGTTTTCTGTTGCTGCTTAAGTATTTGAGAATGATTTACTAAGAAGTATTAATTCTTAAGTTCAATGTACTCAATAAAAAGTTATGCCCGAAAAAAAACCTAATGAAAAAGTTACTTAAGTCAAGGTTAAGTCTGCATAAACAGTGCAGTGAGAGTGGCTTAGTACTTTAAAAATAAGTGGATAACAGATTTCTTTCACTGAAACTCAATTTACAGTAACCAGTTGTTATGATTACAATGAAAATATACCAAGGATAAAGAAATTTTTTAACTTACTCTTCTCCAAGGCACATCCTGTTGTTTTGTCTCAGGATAGAGATCTAAAAAAGATTAAGAAACATTCGGTATTACTGGTAGTAATAGTCACTGTCAAATACCATGGTTCCCTTTATATATATATTTTTATTTGTTGATAGGTAGAGTCAGAACAAATTATGATTTTCAACACCTCATACACACATTAAAGGAAAAATTAGCAAATGAAAACATAGATACTCCTGCAGTTCTATTTTTCTTTCTATTAAATATGCTTCTGAATTTTCCTACAGATCTCATTATCGTAGAATCATAGATTGGTTTGGGTTGGCAGTCACCTTAAACATCTTGTAGTCCCAACTCCCCTGCCATGGGCAGGGATGCCTTCTACCAGACCAGGTTGTTCAGAACCTGATCCAGCCTGGACTTGAATTCTTTAAGGGATGGGGCAGCCACAACTCCTCTGGGCAAACTCTGTTCCAGTGCCTCACCACTCTTATTGCAAAGAATTTCATTTTAGATTATATCAGAGTGCATTTTAAATTGCATTTTTCATAATCGAATGTTTAAATTACCTCATAAATGAAAGCCTACAATTATGCAGAATTCAATTTTTGTACAATGGGTCACAATTTCCAAATATATACCTTTGTAGATCTTGAAACATATTTTCAAGCTTGAATCAGCTTGCAGATATTAATGACATTTAAAGACTGGCTCAGATAAAAACTCTAAAATGCAAAACACTTAAATTCACTGGTTTTGAGCCTGTATAAAACATTCTACTAAATATTATATATTTTTTCTTGGTTTTGGGATTTTTATCCTCTATTTTTGGTAAAGTATGGCTCAAGCAATAGTAATTTGATAACAATAATCAGGGTATGTTATGAACCTGAACTCTAGTGTTCTCCCATCTGAGTCCTTGATATTGTCGCAACAAAAAACTCATCTGTGGAATTTTGGTATGCCACTGGATAATTTAGAAATATTTATAATAAAGGATGAAAGCGGAATCAGATTGATCTGAAAATTGGCATTATATTCACAAGGGATTTGACTGCATGCAATACCTATACTAACATTTCCATATGTTAAGTTTCCATGCATATCTTAAGATATTAGTTTTTTGAAGAATGAAAAGTTCAAAAACCTTATTCCTCAAATCTTCCCACCAATTTTTCTGTCAGTATGCACTCCTACTATATAAACCCCTAGTATTAAAACTGTATAGACAATGTTTACATAAGTATTCAAAAAATGCTTCTGTTCAGCAAAACTTATGGTGGTTACAAGTATGAAGGGCTGTAAGGTTTAAGAATAACAACAGATATATTTAGAGGGCCAACATTTACCATACCTTGGGTTTAACCCTGCAGTAATTAGAAATGATGAATCTTTACTGTCCAAATAGAAGAAGATTGATTACTTCCAGGAAGAACATATCAGTTAGTGGAGACAGAAGACAAAACTAGTCTTGAGCAATTTGACTCTATAAATAAACAATACTTGAAACTGATGTAGGATCAAGACTTTCCAAATATAATTTTGGGAATACGGATACCTGAGCAGAAATCAGGAAAATGTAGAAATTACAGGATTTATATCAGGAAAGGTGTATAGTGAGTGCACTACCTGACTGACTATACAGCTTATTACAGCTCTATAAATGAAGTTCCCCTGCAAAAAAAAAAAAAACCCCAAACAAAAAAAAACAAAGGCATGCAAGAAATCAAACTAGCCTGCAAAAAAATGACCAGCTCTAACAAATCTAAATGCACTAAATTATTTTAGTATTTAGTATTCAAATCAATTGGGCTTTGAGTTTCCTTGTTTCATGAGCTGAATTACACAATGTTTAAAAGTTATTCAATCTTTTAAACATTGCAAGGTTAAATTTGTAATTAGCACTGGCCTTAATGTAAATTAATAATTTACTCCTTTAGAGACTAATGGAATTACCTAAACACTGTGAATGCCTTCCACAGCTCACCTTTAAGAGCAGTGACTGATCTTGTCACTTGTCAGATTTCTTAAAAGGTTTTAAGCAGTGTTTACCGATAAATATTTATATGGAGTACATGAGAAAGAGTGCATCATATTTTGGAAGAATTCCTTTAATTTTCTTTAGGGTGACAGCATACCCTTGAAGTGAAAGGAAAGGTTACTGAATTCTTTAGATTTAGAAGTTAGATTTAGAGTGTTTAACTTTAACTTTTAAGTTAGCCATCAGTGAAAACAAGAAGGGCTATTTCAAAGTGCGTAATTCATAACATTTTAAAAAACCTCCAAATTTGTAACCTGCAAGAGTTTCTTCCACACGGCAAATTCCTAAATTTAGGATGTCATTCTCTGGCTAATAATTATGCAACAACACCAAATAGTTATTCTTCAAAGCAGTCAAACCATTTGCATCCTGTGATGGCTCATCACCAAGGTGAAGTATATTTTGCTGCCAAGTCACATGTTTCTCTGTGAAACAGGTACTCCCTTCTGCCACCCGTAATCCACTCCTCAAAATACAAATTTTACTCTTGTGTTCCTTTATCACTTAAAATCAGAGGTATTGGGCCACAGTCTATCCAGACATAATCACTGGCTTCAAGCAACAGTTTAATCTTCTATAACACGTGTCAGTTTCCCTAGATCTAAAGATTATTTATGTTTTACTTGGAAGACTAATGTTTACAAAAAGACAAAAAAATAAAGAGTTAGTGTTAAGAAAACAGACAGGAACTGAAGGAAAAAAATCTTATGCACTAAACCTAAACAGACATCAAAGATGGTTTTTGAGCTTTTATGAATATGTTAATAACACAAATAGGTTTCTGGGACAGTGATATTAGGCCACTGTGAATTAATTCCTTCTTCCCTTATTTAGATTGGTATCAATTGAAAACAAGGACACTGAAGTTATATGGTACAATGATAAACTGTAAATGAAGACTATGTTGGGGTGTCCACCTTCCCAGTACCTCAACTGAAAAGAATCTTACTTCTGACTTCACCTGGTAAAGCATTAGACTGTGAATGAGCTATTTCATAATCCTGCTCCTTTCACGTTGTCTGGAAAAAAACCAAAGCAACCACCACAGAAGGGCATATCAGCTTTTTTCTTTAAAGAACTATCAGTATTTTGGGATCAGAATTTTGATACTGTCTTTAAATAGCACATTGGTTGTTCTCTGAACTCCAAGGCTTGCTGCTTTCTCACTGTAGGCTCATGATGTATTTCATGTAGAAAAGGGGAAAAAAAACCCTCTTCTGGACAGTATATTGCTGCACTCAAGAATTTTTTTCTGGTTTTATCGGTTTCTTTTGTTTGTTTGTTTGTTTGTTTTTGTTTTGGCTTTTTTATTTGTTTGTTTTGAATGCATTTTGTTGAATATGTTATAAATAATGCCTAAGCCCTAAGACTTGTGAAAGCCATTTCGGTATGTTGAAGATAGTTGTAGATTTGCCAAAGCTCTTAAGTCATCTAGATCTCATCAATGTGATTTCTAAAGGGACCCATAGGGTAGCTGTTCAGGTGCTTTCCCAAGCAGCTAATTCCTTTAAAAATTCAGTCTGCAAGTCATATCTCAGAGTTCAAAATTAAAGAGATAACACAATGCCTAGACAGATGCATCAACAGCTATTCTAAGATTATTATGGAGGTATTTTAATCAAAAGCATTTGATCCTTTTGCAACTGGGACTGAGGGGAAACATAGGGTATCTGCTATGATGATATGTGTGAATACTACTCCTATGGTTATAAAACCACTGTGTAAAAATTAACCTTATTTATGGAATGATATTTCATATTAAAGTTGCGGCTGGAGGCCTTTAATCTGGCTCTGACTATTGTGCCAACCCTGAAGTGTTAGTCAGTAGTATGAAATATTTACTATTTGAGACAAAGAGGAGACAAACAGTAGTAAAATGGGAAAAAAAATCTATCAAAATTAAACCTCTCTTGAAAATACATTCAATTACTGTCAAAAGACTTGAAGTACTTAACCTTTAATGTATAAATATTTGCTTTATATTGCTTTATTGGGAATTTCAAGCTAAGAAATCTGTGGTAGTTAATTTTCTCGATCTCTGCCAAGAACCTTCTTTGCAAAGGCCAGCCAACTAGGGAATATCTAATTGCTCACAACATCTTGTCAATTATAGGTAAATAGACACACTAGAAAAGCAAGAGGGTTCAGAATGGGGAAAGTAAATTAAAGGATTATTTTTGTACAAAGATCCTTCTGTTAGGGAAGAAGTGAACGATGCTTTTTAAAAGCTATTGCTAAATAGCAATAAAAATTATGCTATTTCAGCATAAATTTAGACATGTGTTCCTCAAGTATGATAGTACAGTGGTGAGTAAGCTTGCTGCAGCATGCAATTTGGGCCCAAATCACTGAGATTATGTATTTCCCTTAAGTTTGTAAAGAGTTCCTTTACCGTAAGAAAGCAAAAAACTTAAGCAACAGTGAATCTGCATGCTCATACTGTAGTTGACTCCCATTCTGCTCTTATACATTTGATACAGAGTTACACTTAATTGTTATACCAATAATGACCTAATAAATGCAATAACTCTTCATCATATACATTCTGCATCATACTTTGTAAAAGTGCATCTGAACATTATTTTTTCAAAATAATCCGGGGGACTCTATTTCCTGACAAACATAGTAGTTATAGTAATTTCTTAATTAGCTAAATAGCACTACCAGATATCAATTCAATCTAGTACATCCCAAGCAGATCCATCACTATCTCAAACTCTTTGAGCCTCACTTTGGGTGCTGAAAATGGACTGTCATTGTTTGACCTCAACCAACAGCTAAGCCCCACACAGCCACTTGCTCAATCCCATGCCAATGGGGAGAGAACATGAAAAGTAAAAGGTAGTTAAGCAAGGAAAGGAAAAGTTGTGTACACAAGCAAAACAAATCAAGGAATTAATTCACAGCTACCCATGGGCACACAGGTGCTCAGTTATCTCCAGGGGAACAGGGCCCATCATGCACAGAGTTACTTGGAAAGACAAATATCATCTTTCCAAATGTTCTGCTCTCCCTTCT